TTCTGTAGCCTTCTGGCACGCAACTCTTCTTCTTGCACTCAGTCTCTTTCTTCTCTTCAGTTTTCATTCTTTCTTCTCTTTTTGACCTAAGCGGCGGTGGCTGCTGCTGCACCTGTACCTCTCTCTCCCGACCTCACCTCAGATCTTCAATCGAGTGCTCAGAAATTTCGACGACAGCATCTGTGCCGCTTCTTCATCGATCTCACGATCTCTCGTCTGCCAGGTCTCGCGCTCTCTCTCTCTTCTAGATATGTATCCCTCTCTCTCTCTCTCTCTCTCTCTCTCTCTCTCTCTCTCTCTCTCTCTCTCAAGTTGACCTCAGCCTAACCCACATCACCCCTCTCTGTTTCAGGCACGCACAGCACAAACCCGATCAAGAGCCGCCACAACCACCTCCGTTGCCGAAGGTAAATTCTCTCCTCTGTGCATTCTAGGGGTTTTTTTTTTGTTTTTTTTTTCTTTGAGATTTAACCTATATCAGAATGATATGCTCTGAAGTTGAGGAATATATTATTGCATTTTTTTTAACGATTATTCCATTCAATAATCTATCTGTGCTGCTCAATATGTCTATGCTTTGTGTTTTTTTGACAGAGTAAGGAAGAATAGATGATAGATCAATAGAGAAAAACATAAAGAATTTACATATGTTAGAAGAATATATCAATATGTCCATGCTCTGGGGTATCTATCAATTGATTGGTTATTTCATTTGTGAAGTTTTTTTAATGGTCTGTTCTTTCCACATAGTAAATATTTCCAGGAAGAGCTTGTTATGAAACTAATTTCTTTTTGTGTTCTGTATGTCTTCATGTGTACTAGATACTGGTATGTGGTAATCACATGAACATTCAAGATGAAGTCAACCAAGTGGTGATACATGAGCTAATTCATGATTTTGACGATTGTCGTGCTGCAAACTTGAACTGGGCTAACTGTGCACATCATGCTTGTAGTGAGGTGTGCATCAATATATAGCAATTGAATATTTTTCTTGTATCGGGTGTAGTGTAATTCTTCATACCTCAATTTAATCTTTTACTTTTAAACATACACACTTTGTTTTTTGGAACAGATTCGTGCTGGCCATCTAAGCGGTGATTGCCACTATAAACGGGAATTGCTGAGGGGTTTGTAAAGATTCGAGGTCATGAACAAGTGAGCTATTCAACTTTATTTACATAAGAACTTAAGATATACTCTTATGGCTACATTCTTTGCATACAATGTGAGATGCTCTCTTACCTTAAATTGATACGGAAAGAGGAAAGCCAAAAGGCTTCAGTTGTATAGGAAATGGGGATAGGGCCTTTTTCATATACTGCAAAGTTCTGTTTTATACCAGATCTGGAGTCTTTGCCTTTTTTTTTCTTTTTTTATACATAATGTCCCACTTTCAAGTTTTAAATGAATCCGAATCATGGTTTCAATTGGTTGAAATAAATTGAGGATGGATTTTCTCTCTTTCATATTTTCCTTGGACAAATATACTGTAGTTGATGTTCATTGCATTCCCATTTTGACATTTGAAGGATTGTGTGAGACGAAGAGTTATGGATCTGGTTTGTGTTAATTTTTTTAAGTGTTGTGTAGGTTGCTTTGTTACGGCTTTGGAAGAATGGATGAAGCAGATTTTTTGCAAGGATGTTATCTTTATGTGTATTTTTGTGATGGGTTGTAATCTTTAATTTCATAAGTTTAGTTTGGATTGCTTGCTTTATTTGTGTATTATTTTTTGTAATGGTTTGTAAGAGATTATTTTTCCTTTCCTTGCTTGGTTGGTTGAATGTGTGTGTGAGATTCATTTAGTTATTTAGAAACTTAGATTGGAATGATGGGTTTTTATAGGCTGAATTTGCATAATTTCAGGTTTTGAAAGAAAAGTAAAAAGTGATTTGGGATTGTTCTTAAGAACTTATTAGGTTTTGGCCATTTGACAACAAAAAATGGATTTTGGCTGAAAGTAAATTTGATTTGGGCTTTTTTTTTTTTTCTGAAAGTAAATCTGATTTGGGCTTTTTTGACTGAAAGTAAAAATTAATTGGGCTTTTGAAAATGGTAAATTTGGGCTCAAGCCCAAACCAATCACAAACCAGAACCGACCTGAGAACCGAGGCCCATTTACAGTTCAGCCCAATTTTGGGTTTTGCTCTAGACCCGACCCGCCCGAGAACTGAGCTTATCTTCGGTTTGGCCCGCGGGTCGGTCAAAAATTAACCCGACCCGAACCGTGCCCAGACCTAGTTCACATTGGAAAAATCTTTCACCAAATATTTTTTGTACCTAATACAACATGATGAGATCTTAACCACTGCTAATTTTGCTTTACAACCTTCACAAACATTGCATCGTTGTCTTTCTATTCATGTACACTCATATATAGACAATAATCATAGTCAGAAATTGTAATACCCCGAAAAAAATTAAAGTGGACTTTCGTATTTCAGTGAAGAAAAAAAAAACAATAATATGATGAAGAATTATTATGGGTATTTTATCAAGTGATTTTGGACTAAGACTAATAGATTAAGTGTGTTTAATTTCAAGTTTGACAAAAATACACTTGTAGAAAAAAAATATATATATATATATATATGTGGAAACACATGCCAGTAGATTGTCGTATGACTATTGCAAAAAAAATATATATGTGGTGATTACTTTGGAGAATAATGTTAATAATTGAAGTAGCATCGTGCGATAACTAGATTTTTCACAAACACTTATGGAAAATTAAGGATAGTAACATTGTTGGAATACCACAAAGACCGGCATACATTGTACTTACTCAATTGGGAAATAAGTTTTGTCTATAACTTCTTTTTCTCTTTTTATTTCGATAATCTAGCCCTCCCCATCACAATTATTTTGTCATTTCTTTCTTTTGATAGAAATAGAACAAATCTATTAAAATTCAGTAGAAAAAGTACGAATAAAGTGAACCAGTTGTCCCCACCTAAAGAAGTCTCGAACAATACAATGAAAATGAAATACATAAATCCTTAAATAAAGCAACAACTGAACAGAAAAACAAGTTACACATCAAGAACAGTAGAATCAACCATAAACCCTATAGATATCCTCTCCAGCTCACCAGTGCATGTACCGCTTAACATTATTAATTCTTGCTCCAGCACCTTTCAACACTATAAAGGTGGTATGAAATTTCCTCCCGCTTCCATATAACCACAACACCAAGAAGGTGAATGTCAAAACTCCATTGTTGATGGATTATATCAGTGCAAAAAAGTGTACATGCCCAATAAAATTATACGCATATCCATTTCATGAGTAAACTATAAAAGTAAGATCATACCTAATGTGAGCTTCGAGATAGCAATGCATGCGATCACGTAAGTTGAAGGAACATACCGACTACCACATTTTTTGGGTGTGTACAAATACATCTCTTTTTCTTTCCAAAACCTATGTTTCCTAATTGATGGTGATTGAGACTAAATGTGTACAAGATTCTGCAAAAAAATGAAAACCATGTTCACAATGTATTGGTTTAAAGTTTCTTCTTGGGGGAGGTAAGTGATGTTGGGGTTGTGGGTACGAAGGTGAGTGAGGTAGGGGTTATTTTTGTCGGTATGGTGGTGATTAAGTTTGGATTTTTATTAATCAGAGGAGGTGACTCGATTGAGAGGAGTCGAAAATATACCACTACATCGCCCTCAAATATGTGCACATGCCCAATAAAATTATACGTAGATGTCTTTCACGAGTGAATCATATAAATAAGATCATACCTAATGTGAGACCTCAAGTATCACTGGTCGCGATCATGTAAGTGGAAGGAACACACCAGCTACCATATTTTTCGAGTGAACAAATACGTAAGTTGAATATGTTTGGGTATTGTTAAAGCTAAAGGTTGTAATATTTTGGAAACACATGCCAGTAGATTGTCGTATGACTATTGCAAAAAAAAAATTATATGCGGTCATTACTTTGGAAAATATTGTCAATAATTGAAGTAGCATCGTGCGATAATTAGATTTTCCACAAATACTTATGGAAAATTAAGGATAGTAATATTGTTGGAATACCACAAAGACCGACATACATTGTATCTACTCAATTGGGAAATAAGTTTTGTCTATAGCTTCTTTTTCTCTTTTTATTTCGATAATCTAGCCTTCCCTTTCACAATTATTTTGGCATTTCTTTCTTTTGATAGAAATAGAACAAATCTATTAAAATTCAGTAGAAAAAGTAGAATAAAGCAAACCAGTTGTCCCCACCTAAAGAAGTCTTGAACAATACAATGGAAATGAAATACATAAATCCTTAAATAAAGCAACAACTGAACAGAAAAACAAGTTACACATCAGGAACAGTAGAATCAACCACAAACCCTATAGATATTCTCTCTAGCTTGTCGGTTGTGTAATATTTGCAATAACCAATTTTCTTTTCCGACGGCTTTCTTACGTCGCAAATACATAGTCATCCTCATTTTATAAAGGTGTTTTCGAAAATCATTTCATCAATTCCGAGGGCATAATGTGGTCAGAAATAATACTTTTTCGACGGCTAGTCAGAAAAAGACTTTTTGATCGCTATTCCGACGGCTAGTCAGAAAAATACTATTTGCAAGTACATTACTTTTTCGACAAATATTATTGGTCGAAAACACACCTGCTACCATATTTTTCGACCAATAATTTCGACAAAATAATGTACTTGCAAATAGTATTTTAGTGTTGGAAATGATATTTTCGACAAATATTATTGGTTGAAAATACATCCTTGAAAATTGGTTATTGCAAATATTACACAACCAATAATATTTGTCGAAAATATCATTTCCAACACTAAAATACTATTTGCAAGTACATTATTTTGTCGAAATTATGCAGTTCCGACATAAATATGTTTTCGTAAAAATAAATACATTGTCACAAAAAAATTTGATAATTTCGATAGCTAATTATTAATAAAAAAACTCTTATTATCATCATTAATAAAGTCACATAAGTAGAAAACAACTAATGTAATAAATTCAAAATATTCATTTCAATTCTAATTTCTAAGATGTGTCTCATAACAGTAGTCCTCAAAGTCTACTTCCAACCAAAAGTTGAGGAGTTCGAATGCAACTTTCAAGTCTTCCTGGGAACGTGCAGATAAAATACCGCTCTTTAAAATGTATGTACCTCAATGGTTAATGGTTATGATTATGAAGATTGAAACAACACAAGTAAAATTTGCATCAGATTAAACAGAAAAATGAACCATAAAACCTAACATTTGCATCAGATTAAATGACATACAATTGAATGCATTTTTGCTATTATAAGGAATGGTATGAACTTACAACAAAGAGAAGGCAATTCAGAGTCAATGTTTCATATTCCCTTCCTTCGCCACATCCACTACTCCCATATAACCTGCAAATACAATTATGCAAGGATGTAATTTCTTTGCCCAGGTGCTTTGAGGGATCCAACCCCGTGGCAGCAACCTATGACATTCAAAGAGTATTAGGCTACAACCCCAAAACCATCCCAATCAACATGCAAGTCGTTTCAACTAGAAAACTCAAATGTTAAACAATAAACCTTACCTTTTATTGTAATCATCACAATCCCATTAGTTATCTAGTTGGCAGAAAAAATTTGTAACTTAAAATAATGTTATCTTAATGGAAATCCTCTTCTCCAAAACAAAAGTTATCTTAATAGACTACATTCATGCTGCTAATAAACAAATTACCATTTCTTGAAAAAGCAATTACTGATCTTGTTTCTATAGCTAGGTATAATTGATCTTTTCACTTCATTTTAAAAAATACACATACCATCAATTTCATCCCCAAGAGTCATTCCATAGCCAAGATTCTCATGCCTACATAATATACAGTAGTCATTGGAAAATAAAAACATGCTTTATAATAGTTACCAAATTTGCAAGGCAACCAGAGTTTCCTCCCTGCTTAAGATGGTGAAACTTACAGCCAAATTTGCAAGTCCCTCTCCTCATATAATACTGCCAACAAAGAATCACAACACATCTTATCCAAAAATAAATAAATTCACAGCACAATCAAAGGAGATTCACAAAATTTCAAGGACTGTCAAGATATGCTACTTTTTCTACTATCAATCTGCACAATTACCCTGCTTAGGATGGTTGAAAATTTATCAAAATCGTGAACTAGATACAATGAACCACAACAATATACCCATTTTTTTCATAACAAATACAGAAAAATTAATCAGGAAACATATTTAAAGAAAAAACAAATTGGCGTTTAGGAATTGATACAAACCAAGAGCGAGATGGTTACTGGAATGAGGAGGGAGACAGGAGAAAAACCAGACCAGATTCTACAAAAATAAAAATAAAACTTAAAACCCAAATACAAAATAAGAGATTGAATTCTTGAAATGGATATTTACAAAGCAATCATAGTCCTTCTAGGAGACCATGTAGCCACAGAGAGAGAGAGAGAGAGAGAGAGAGAGAGAGAGAGTGATAGATGAGGAGAGGGAGAGCGGAGAGTGGGTGTGTGGGAATTTTAGGGTTTGGGCCTGGAAAAAAAATAAGGAGAGAGGAGGAGGAAAGTAGTTTCGATTTGGGGCTGAAAAGAGAGAAGAAGCGTGAATTTTTTAGGATGAGGGAACGGGAGGGAGGGCTCGAAATTAGAATTTCACCCAAAAAACAGGGCGCCAATGCAAAAAAAAGTGGGGAGGAGAAATCAATGTTTATGAGCACATGCCATGTCATAGAGATCAACGTCCAAGACTCTGCCACATGTCAATCTACTATATTTCATATTACTTCTTTATAATTTAGAAATTCATAATAAATTAATTAAAAATCAGAAAAATACACAAAAAATTCCTATGAAGACCTTGTGATATTTTCTTATCCTTAAAGCTCAAAAATTCTAATTCTAAATTATAAAAATACAAATCAATAATAAAAACTCAACTTTATTCATAGATAAATCAAAACATTCTATCACATACACTCTTGTTTATTTGATCCAATGATTCCCATTAATTTAAATATATGAAATCATGATCTTAGATCTTCATAATCGAAGGCTATGTCGTAATAAATTTTTAGCAATTTTCGGCGTATATTTATGATTTTTATATAATTTTTAAGAATTGTTTAAGATAAAAGACAATAAATTACCAAAAAAAAATTACACGTGTTACCATCATATAAGGCCACGCATGAGAAATGCTGACAGGGCGCTCTTTAGAAGCTACCATGTGTCAATCTATTATATTTCATATTATTTTTCTATAATTTGACTTCTAAAATTCATAATAATAAAAAATTAAATATCAGAAAAATACACCGAAAATTCATACGAAGTCCTTATGATATTCTCTTCTCCTTAAAGCTCCAAAATTCGAATTTTGAATTATAAAAATATAAGCACAATGATAAAAACTCAACTTTGTTCATAGACAATCAAAACATTCTATCACATACACTCTTGTTTCTTTGATTCAATGATTTTCATTAGTTCAAATATGTAGAATCATGATTTTATATCTCCATAATCAAATGTCACGTCGTAAGGAGTTTGTAACAATTTTTGGTATATTTTTCTTTTTTGTATTTAACTTCTAATGAATTTGTTAAAGATAAAAACAATAAATAACAAGAAAAGGATATGTGTTGCTATTTGATAGGGCCACATTTCTGAAATGCTGATGAAGTGGCTTTAAGAAGCTGACATGTGTCAATCTTCAACTATTTCATTTTATTTTTATACGATTTAACTTCTAAAATTCACAATAAATAAATAAATTTCATATGTACTCCTTGTGACATTCTCTTCACCATAAAGCTCTAAAAATATAATTTTAAATTATAAAAATATAATTTTAAATTATAAAAATATAAAGCAATAACAAAATCTCATCTTGTTTTACTGATATTTTATTATTGTATTAATACATAGGTAATTAAGTATCAAATTTTTTTTTAGGATGAAATTAGCTCGTCAGAAATATACAAGCAATTCCGACAAGGCCAAAATGCCCTCACAAATGGAAAACTACTTCCAACACAGAAAGTAGCTTGTCATAAATTCCGACAACGCCAAAATGCCCTCAGAAATTATTAACTATTACCGAGAACAACTAGTTTCCATCGGAAATAATTGACTATTTCCGAGGGCATACTCAACACCTCGGAAATAATCATGACATTTCCGACAACAATGGCTTTTGTCGGTAATACAACAAGCCCCAAGGTTTCCCACTAAAAAAATGTGTATTTCCGACATACTTTAAGATTTTTTCCGAAAGTAATTTCACAGTCGGAAATAAAATGCATCATGGTGACATATTTCCGACGGTCAATGTTTTTTAGTTTGAAAAAGCACATTTTCCGACTACATTTGGGCCCCCTCAGAAAAAAGTTGTCACAAATGACAATTTTTTTTTGTAGTGTGTACAAATACCTCTCTTTCTTCCCAAAACATATCTTTCCTACCAAAACATATCTTTCCTAATTGATGATGATTACGACCAAATGTATATATGGTTCCACAAAAAACGAAAAATCATGTTCACAATGTATTGGATTGAAGTTTCTTTTTTGGGAGGTGAATGATGTTTAGTTTCTTTTTTGGGAGGTGAGTGATGTTTGGGTTGTGAGTATGGAGGTGAGTGAGGTTGTGATTGTGGGTGTGAAGGTGATTAAGTTTCAATTTCCCTTAATTGGAAGAGGTGACTTGATTGAGAGGAGAACAAAAATACATCGGTTCAAAAAAGATGTGAGCTATGCTCTTGTTTAAAATATACCAGTACATTGCCCTAAAAAATGTGTACATGCCCAATAAAAATATACGCAAATGCCTTTCACAAGTGAATTATAGAAGTAAGATCATGCCTAATGTGAGCTCTCATGTAGCAATGGCTGCAATCATGTAAGTTCTCAAAACCCATGTTTCCTAATTGATGGTGATTGAGACCAAATGTGTACATTGTTCCACAAAAAAAGAAAAACCATGTTCATAATGTATTGGTTTGAAGTTTCTTCTTGGGGAGGTGAGTGATGTTGGGGTTGTGGGTACGGTAGTGAATGAGGTTGGGGTTGTGGTTGTGGGATTGGAGGTGATTAAGTTTGGATTTCCACTAATTTGAGGAGGTGACTTGATTGAGAGGAAACCAAAAACACATTGGTACAAAAAAAAAAAAAAGAGTAAGCTATGCTCGTGTTTAAAATGTACTAGTGTATCCCCCATACAAATGTGTGCATGCCCAATAAAATTATACCTAGATGCCTTTCATGAGTGAACCATAGAAGTAAGATTATGCCTAATGGGGAAGAGTTGATGAGTTATTAATTTTTGAAATTTTTTATTATTATTTGTTGCTATATAATTTTAAGATATTTTAAATAGTCTTTTTTAAATGTGTTTAATCATGTTTTTATATCTAATTTATTTTTTGAAATTTTTAGGTGTTAAAATTACCCAATGCCTAAGCCACATTAGCAACTTCACGGTTTTTTTTTTAACCAAATTAATTGAATGAGGTAAACTGAGAGAAAAAGTAAACCACATAGGGCATTTCAACAAATAAATCTTTAAATATTTCTAATTTAAGGACAACATTACCAAGTATTGAGAATGAAATATATTTCCCATTATTTAGAAACTAAATTAAAATAAATTATTAATATCATCAATTACTTTTCTCAGGAACCATCCAAAGTAAAGTAATTGTATTTTACTGAAATTTCGTAAAATAAAATTTTCATATGCGCAAAACTATAATTGGGGTGTAGAATTTTGGAGGGTGTGTCTGAAGGGTTTGGATATTATCTACTGGAAGATTTGAGTGGGGTTGCTAGACCCAGAAGTTTGTTTATTAGTTTTTCTGAGTTTAGCTCCCTTAGAGTATTCACAATCATGCTCTCTATTTTTTTAGTTAAAATTTAGATTAAAACACTATAAAGTTATTTTAGGAGTTCTCTATAAAATTTCAACTATAATCATACTCCCTAGTTTAAAGAGTCATAAATATTTTTAATATTTTTTAATTCAATTTTTGAATAAAAGTGTAGACACAAAAGCAACAATAAAAAATAGTTGACATTAAATAAATACTTAAAATAATATTCAATAGGCTTAATTACACCAATGCCCCCTGAAACTCTGGTCAAATCCCACTTTGCCCCCCTAAACTCAAAATGACCCACTTTCATCCCTTGACCGAGGTTTGGTGACTCACTTTTCCCTGTGTCATCAACTTCATTTAAAACTCTATAAACTTTGATGACATGGCATAAGTGTTTTTGTAATTTCGTACATATGAATCATTACCCAGAATTGAATGGATAACGTGGCGAGTGGAGCCCACTTCCCCATAGATAAAGATATATTTAAAAATTTAAATTTAAATAATAAAAAACTACTTAATGAAATTACTTCACCACCAGCCGTTCCTCAATGCGCCCTTCTCCCCTCATCCATGTCTGACGCCTCCCACTCCCTCCTTCCCCATCCCACCGTGAACCCTTATCCAAAGAACCACCAACAGCCAAGCCATCCCTTTCTTGACCAGTCCCACAACCACGACTTTCATCTTTACCTCTTTCTTCATGATTCACAAGATTTCTTGTTCTCTTTTCCAAACCTAGATTCTCCAAAAACTCATCATCAACAATGCCAGAAAAGTCCACCTAGAAAGATATGACAAACAAATGCAAGAATTAGTTTAAATATTTGCATACCAGACTGATATCGTTGAAGTAAAGGTTAGGGCTACTCTACAATTTCGTGCTAATTAATGGTAATTCTTTTCCCTTCCTTTGTACAAACAAACATGCTAATAGAAACTCTACATAGCTCAGCTTAGTGATACTAGGCTTATTCAAGGAAAATGATTGTATGGTATGAAGAATCATTTTAATTATAGTAGGAACTTGAACAACATCAGTTATAACTCTCTTGGCTATCAAATAAAGGCAAGCATGAGTTAAAACAAAAAAAGTTAAAAAATTGATAATACAGCCACCCCCCACCTCCACCCCCCTAACTACATCCACCCAACAGACCCCTCAATCAACCCCCTCCCCCCCACCCTTCACTCCTCGACCCACTCTCTTCATGTCTCCCTCTCTCTCCACCTTTCTTACTCTCTCTCACTTACACACAGAACATCGAATCTGTCACACCAGTTCACCCCTCTCTTCTTCGAGCTCTTGATGTACTTCAAATCTCAATCGAGGGATGAAAGTAGGCCATTTTGAGTTTAGGGAGGTAAAGTGGGATTTGACCAAAATTTCAGAGAGCATTAGTGTAATTAAGCCTATTAAACATAAAAACATTCAATTATAGGAAGTCACTAGGAGTCCTTTCTCTCTCCTTAGATTTAGGATCTCCTAGAGGTCTCCTTATTTTAGGAGCTGGATAGGGAGCATGGTTGGAGGTAGGTTTTTTCAATTCCTCCTTAATTTTTAGCTAAGGAGGTGG